CCGTCGGGGACGGTAAACGGCCCGAAGAGACCGGCCTTCATTTGGATTCCGCGACTTGTTGGCACCGCCGTTACCGCTGTGGGCACTGACGCTGTTAGGAAAAAACGGCAGAAAATTACATCTTTGGTGCGAGTGGCTACGCACGAGTGTTAGAATGTCAGCTTGTGAGTGCCTGCGCGTTAGTGCGTATGTGTGCACCAGTTTGTGTGTATACGTCTACCTGTAGTTGTTTGTCTGTGTAAAATTCTTCCCCCATCTCCCTTTCTTGATCTGTGCATCGCTCGTGGTCTATAGTTAGGCTTATGTCTTGTGACTTCAGCTGGCTATACGTGCGACCAATACGTCGTCGAGCGACCCGCAACGAATCCAATGACTGATTCCAGTGACTAGTAGCCAAAACAACGATCTCAACAACAACAACAACAACACCACCACAAGCGGGCCAGCTAACGCGGTGCGTTGAGCGTGCAAACGCCGCTGCCCTATCGTCACACTGTTACATGCTAGCGTCTACGATGCCTGTTGTCTGAAGCGAAGATGCTTTGACTGCGACGGAACTCGACGATCGATCTTGGATTGTCGCTAAGCGGTCGCTCGGCATGATGATGATGATGATGATGATGATGACTGGGATACTGTTGCTGCAGCCCGTTCTCGCGCGAGGTTTGTTAAGCGGCGACGGCAACAAAAGCAGTCAGCGTGGCCGTGGCCGTCGCCGATGCCGTTGTTGTAGTAACCGAGAGCGTGGCTAGACCGAAACAAACAGAAATTGCGCGTAGACGAGTCTACGATGAAGACGAGAAATCAAATTGACGCGTCAATTTTTCTACTCAGCCAACGCAGCTAGCGAAGTATAGAGGAGGGCTCCATCCTTCTCAAACTGGGTGGCGTGATCGGCTTCAGCAAGCGGTCGATTACCAGCGGCCGTTCGAGGAGCAGCGACGCCGGCCGATATGATGACGACGCCTCGAATTGAATTGGGCTTGGCGGGCCTTGTTGAGTGTTTTTGATTGAGACGAAGTTCGGAGTGACAGCTCCGTAGGCCATCATTTTGTCTCGCTGACCGACGAGGTCTATAGGAGACGAATGTCTTGTTAATACTGCCGGTAGGTGGTCAAGTAGGCGAACACGACCCGTTCTGTTGACTCCAATGTGGGGCACACAGATAGATGCTTACATGTATTCTCGCGTCAGCCGTTACGTGGTCGATCACGGAGGATGCGGTCGCTAAATAATAAGAACAACATAAACAGCCGCAACAGTTGACCCGCTGATAGCTCGTCATATTGCTTCTACTATATTAGTCTGGCTAATTATGCCGCCAACAGAGCCTTTTGACAATATGGACGCGTATGTATAATGCAGATATTATCCCAGTCGGCCCGTGTCCCTGTCCTTTGCTTCCTCGTGCTACCAGGGTAATTACCAACACAACATGCAGCTACCGCCCGTTGATTTCTTTGGCTGCTTTTATAGCTGCATGCATAGCTTCTGTTCAAATGGTAAGAACGATGACTCTATAATCAAGATCATCATCATCATCATCGACAACAGCAGCAGCAGCAGCAGCAGCAGCAGCATCCGAAAAATAGAAGATCAAGACGGAAAGCACATGATTACATAGTGTCTGCGGAAGCGATTACAGTGCCAACTTGAATGACGCCCATTTGTCGCGCCCTCTCTGACTTCATGTTTGATTGGGGCATACTTAACGCCCACCCTCCTGGATATCCCTCTCGCGTCATCCCTATTTGCTACACATATAAATGCGTGCATATGGTTGTAACACGCAGCGAAAGCGACTCTCGCAGAACATCGTGGTCATTGTGATTACGGTTACGCCGAGTTGATGTTATCACCGCCTCCTTGGACGTTGCAGGGCGGTCGCTCAAATCGTCTATAGATGTCATGAAGTACTTTTACGGGCGTTAAGTCGGTGGAGCGCGAATGACAGCCGCGATGTATTAGTGAGCCCCTAAATAGACGTTGATCTAGCTACATGAGCGAACGCTACGTTCTACATTGCTGTTTTGTGTAGCCGTATAGTTCGTTCAGCAGCGTTGTAACGTTTGCCGGGCAGAAAGCACATGGCCATGAGAGGTAAATCGAAGGGTTGAAATAAGCTTAGTGAAAAATCTGTTTTTGAAGTATTCTGATGTCATGCAGCGGTCAAGATGAAATTACAGCGGCGACCAGACTGGCAAACGCGATGGATAGGTTCGTAATGGATTTCCAACGATGTAGCTTTATGATGAAATAGTCGTTGACTTCAGTCGCCGCTGTCATCGGCGTCGGTCTGAATGCAATGTAATGTCTGCCTCGTTCGCCTGCTCCTCAGTTGGTCGGCGAGTGACACATAGGGGAAAACGAAGCTGCTGTGTCATATACTTCTATAGTAACAGTAGTTTCTGTCGTGTTTGGCTTCAAATTATTGTATAGAAAACACGCATATATATATACAGCGACATTTGTTTGTTTTGTATCCTCGATTCTGAAATCCTGGCAACAACAGACAGAGGCGGCGAACACGCAGATACAACAAGCAACGAGACCCAGCTTACATACACATGCTACGATATAGCCAAGGTTGTGGTAGACGCTGTGGCGGGCAGATGGAGGCGGAACGTCATCCGACCATCGGTGAACGCAGGCACGTTAGATGTTCACTTTCCTCATCAATATTATACACCCGACGATTCGTAGATATATATATATATATAGAGGATTAGAAAAAAACTGGTCTGCTGCCATCGAAGAATTGACTCTTTGTTATGATCTTCATCACAACTGAAGTAATAGGCGCGTACCGCTGTGACAGAAATTGGCCATTTGTTTATATATATTACATATGTATCGATAAAAGGAGCGATAGGAAAAAGCAAATAGTGATCACAAAAAGTACAAATCCATACGGTAGCAATCACGCGACGGAAACCCATAAACATCGACTTTAACGACATCATCGTACGAGCAGAGCTAACGATTGAATTGACTGTTTTCGTGTTTCTGTTAACCGCGAATGGTAAATGCCCATCGAAATGATCGTCTTAGCTTTCCCCTAGGAATCAGATATCAAATATGATGTAAAAAACCTTTTCTTCAAGATAGTTTTAGACAACTTTACAAATGTTGAAAACCGACAATGATGGGCATACCAGTGAAGTGAATAGATGGTTTGACTTACTCTTAAGGTAAGATAATGCTGAAACATGTTGATGTTGCAAGTTCCCGGGAATTAGGCCAGATTTCAACTTTTGGCATGCCGGATAAAGATGTAATAATAACTGGGCCGGCTAAACCAGAAAGGTGGCTTGGGTTCGCGTGACCAAGTAAAGTTAATACGTTCGTAATAAAAGTTTACGGCTAAAATTTAAAAATTTACAAACAAGTTCCACATTTCCTTTAGCTTTAGGCCACTGAGCTGTCTCCCTTTCGAGAGTGTCTGGCGGCTTGTCCCTCTTTTAGTCTACTGTCAACTGACGCCGACTGTTTTTGAACGCGTGTCCGCAGTCGAAGCCACCTTCGACCACGAGGGGCCACGTGCAATTCCAGAAACACATATTGAAGCTTTGCAGGCTCCGTCAACTCCCCAGCCCAGATATCTGCACCAGCAGCAGGTCTAATTTGTTGTACGTTCCTATGAAATGGTTGCGCCACAGAAGAAGCACGGTTCTTAGCGGCGGGCCAGTCGCCACAATAGTTCCAGGCCATTAGCTTAAATCCCGATGGCCTCCGCAGCCCCAGCAACTATGGAGGCACGGGTAAAGGCTATGGTGTATTTCAGTGTCGGGTATTTATGACAGCACACTAAACAGCAAGGCGAGATAAGCCACAGCAGCATAAAGCAAGCGGGGAGGGCAGACGGCCAAGTAGGCGATTTCTCTCGTGACATACACAGATCATCGGCGGCTTGTACGCGACCGCATTGGCTTTGCTGTTCAGCCAAGCTTGGTTGAGGCAAGGGATTTTGCTGTGGCTAGTGATGTTATTGTTGATGTTAAAGTTGTAGCTGCTACGACAGCGGTCTTCAGCTATTGAACCGATACCGCGCTGTTGTCTTGTAGGAGGATAACCTCAGTAAACGTCGCCCACAAGAGAGGTCGTAGGGTGGCGTTAGCGTCGCGTTCGAACTGCGACCCCCCACGCGAAAAGTCTTCGCTACTAAAGAAAAGCAACCTCAAACGACAGCGCTTCCTTCTTCCCTGACTTCGACATCAGTTCTTCCGGCCCATCGAACTCGCCTTATGCTCGGTTTACTGGAAGTTTTCGATGGGGTCTCGCCGGACCACAGGATAAAGCGAACTGGCAATCAACCATCAAAGCGACGCGTGACGGTAGAGATGCTAACAGCTTTAGAAGTGGTAGTCGCTTGACAAGGAGCAAATCTCATCGTAGCTCCTGTGTGTATTGGGGCCGTATAGCTGGTTCTCAATATTGTGCAGCGGCTATAAGCCATGATTTGCCACAAATCGCAAATCACGAAACTGTTTCCTCTGGCCCGATCTAGCTTAGCCACTTTAACATATTAGACCAAAGCGAACACCGATAGCGGCCGATATGGCAAAGGCTGTTGTGGTAGCAGCCATTTCGCAAGCAGTTCCTGAATATGCGAACGCTAATGAAAAGGGACAAATCTTCAAGCAAAGTTTTGACACGCGACAGTGAGCTTGGTCCACAGGCCTACTACAGGCGCACTAGACAGAAATTGATCAGCATCTTGTATATTGGAGTTTTTATTAGATTCGGCCATATGGACTGTCCATTAAAACAGACACGATCACGTGGAATGGGTCATCGTCGACAAGCGTAAGCGAGTACTTGCCATGATGTAATGGCGAAGAAGAAATTGCACACAGAATTGAGTGTGGCGTACATATATAATTGTTTGTGTGTGCGTGTGCAATGAAGCCTAGGTCTACAGGCAATCTACAAACAGGCAAACTACATGCAAATGAACATCTAATAACGTTTCGTTTTCAATGTTCATATTTCTTTTTCAGACGAATGTTTCCACCTTTCCGCGTTCGCATGTCAGGTCTCGAGCCGAAAGCAAAGTACGTGATGCTTATGGATATCGTGGCCGCTGACGATTGTCGCTACAAGTTCCAGAACCGGCGTTGGGTTGTGGCAGGCAAAGCCGATCCAGAGATGCCCAAGAGAATGTACATTCACCCCGACTCGCCAGCCACCGGAGAGCAATGGATGCATAAGGTTGTCTCATTTCATAAACTCAAACTTACCAACAACATTTCGGACAAGCACGGATTTGTAAGTATGTTTTCCTTTTATGCTCGGCCTGATATTAGCTTACACGTACCTTCTCATAGGCAATTAGCCAAGCTTACACGGAGACGTGTTTTTGCGTCCCATCACGACCTGCAGCTGTATAAACTTTAGATCTTTGATTTGCGAAGTTCCTTAAGTGGATCGTTCTTATCGCTGTTCCATTTTACCCTGAGCTGTATGTGTACAATATTCTTCTCCGAGTAGCACTACACATACTGAAGCGGGTTAAATCGAGGCTGCGTTGTCTTCGTCAACCGACCGGTGGCAAGCGAACCTGAAGCCAAAGCTCTACTTAGAGTAGGGTATGGTTAGGCACTACCCCCACTGTAGAATTCAATCCTTGCTATTCAAGTCTTGCTAATTTTTTTCTCCCCTATGTTATCTAACTGTTCCACACGAACTCCCCCTAGTCCCTGCCGTAGGGAGTTTGTATAAAGAGATCCCTTTTCAGCAAGCTTTAAAGTAGCAAAGGAACACAGCGGATTTTAGTGCACATCAGCGCGTTCACCTCCAATTCATTTGCTTCCTGTTCTGCATGCTGACTCGGCTCCGAACCTCCAACAACCGTGTCGTGTCCCAAAGTGCTCCCCTCTCGTCTCAGTTTGTCCAAGTCCAGCATTGACTGACTGGCAAACCACCGACAGTTTTTCGCTGTCTACTCGTTTCGGTGCCTGCTGGCTAACTTATTGACTGCATAGGTTAGCTAGATGCTAGCGACATTGACGGATTCTGGCGACCGATCGCATCATCAGTAACGGCGAGCAGTGGTACGTGCAAAGGGCGCTTATTTTCAAATAGCAGTGACAGTCGTAGTAGCAATCGTTGTCGTGTGCTGGATGGAGGGTGCATGCCAAATCAAGCCGCTTGCTGTGTCCCTCGATCGCTCTCTGCGTGCAATCTTCAGTCGTTTCCCAATTTCAGCCGCTGTTTCCCGTCATCATTGTAACTGCTGCTGCTGCTGCTGCTGCTTCTGCTGCAGTAGGAGCAGCATCCGCCGCGCCTTGTGTCATCCTTTCGCCGCTGCCAATGCTGGTGCTGGTTCGGGTGGTTGGCTACCTCGAGCTTCCTCTTCGTGGTTCAGTAACGCCAATGGAAGGATAGCTGAGTATATCATGCTTGTAGATGGCCCTTCGCAGCTCCATCTCTCGCGCTCCGTCGGGGGGAAACGCCCTTGCTACCCCCGTCATTGGTACTGTTCCCTCTCCAAGGCTTGCCGCTGCTGCCCCAGTGATAGCTGCTTCCTTGCCAAGAGAATGGGATATCCCCATTTCCCTACGTCCTCTGTTTGTTTCATTCGAACCCAGCCGTCTGCCGGCCCCACATCTGGAACTACAACTAGCGCTGGCACGACCACTAACGGCAGTCTTTCAATCTCTTTTCACCCATCTCCAGTGAGTCTTATCTTGACGAAAAATCCATTTGCGCCTTCTCAACTGTTTGTGACGTTGCTGATGCCAATTAGCTTGCCCTGCCCTTCCACATATCGGCCTAGATCTCCGGGTCCTCCCCTCTAGCCCCATCTTCTGCTCGTTTGCCCTCGACTGGCTTTTCCTTTAAGAGGACTACGATTGTCGCTCCTTTTCGCTTTGTGTATCTCGTTTGTACCGAGTCTGTATTGATGGCCAGGCCGTGCCGGCGACCATGTCGGTTCGATGTGCGGCTCTTTCGTTCTTGCTGCAGCTGGTTGTCCCACGCTATTCGTTGATCATGGTACAGAACATCACGATGTTCTCCACCCTATCTTGGCTATGATGGCGAGCCAAGCACTCTTACATGAGCGGCGTCATCTGCCCCCCCCCCCCCCCCATTATCTGTCCCTCTTTTGCTTCTTCCCTTAATTCAGGCTTCAGTGTCGCTCACACTCTACCCGCGCGTAGCCGCCCTACAAAGATCTTCGTAGCTCATTATGTTGCCATGGAAACGAGTGCAGTGGGCTGTGGACGCGCCTGCCCTCCGCTCATGGTTGCCCAATCTGCTTCGGTTTCCGTCCGGGGCTGGCGACCGCATCAAAGGGGAAAGGGGCCAGCGAAAGGGCAAACGGACGTATTGAGGGAGAACAGCAGGGGCAAATTCCCTTTTTCTTTCCCAGCTTTCGCCACCCCGTCGCATGATCCGAAGCCCTCACATACTGGGGTGTAGATCGCTGAGAGGTAGGTTGATGACGGGATCCGGGGCTATGTCTAGTGAGCGCTGCTTTCAAAGAGGAGCGGGGGAAAGGCACCAGCGTCAGCGGTTTAGTGGCCGCCCGTTTAGTGATGGAGCAGCGCTATGGTCGAGGGTGATGCGCAAAGAGAGAAAGAGAGAGTAAATACCAACGGGTAAACCGACTGACTTCAACTGTTTTCTGTGGATGAGGCTGGGTGTTGAGGTTGGTTAGGCCATCGAGAAACTGAACGAAAGAAGCTGTTCATCGCTGCAACATAGGGCTCCAGCGCAGCGGCTTCGTTGAGCGACGAGTGGGAGGTCTCAACGAGACTGTGGAGATTGGCCTGCTCCACTTCCCAAAGTAGGACTCAGCCAGGTTCAAACAGGCCCAACCTCTTCTCTTCCGGGTTTTTTTTATCCCAAATGGGAGCGCCGTTATCCGTAGCACAGTACGGAAGGGAGCATTGTACCCGCAAATTCTCTATGGCTATGCGAATGCGCAGCAGTATACAGCCAGACAACGACCAGTGCTTCTTCTATTGCTATCGCCGCGACCTAGGCTGATATCCAGCCAGGCACGCTTCTGCCTTGAGGACGTGTAGAGGCAGCTTTTGCGCCGACAGCAAAGGCATTGCTAATGGCTCCGATCTCAAAAGACGATTGGACGATTGAGTAATTGGTTGGAAAGTTTCTTAACAAAAGATGGCCACAGATTCCCTGATCAAAGGGTGAACACAGGATCTATTATAACGGATTTCTTAAAATGTTTGATTTTGTCCGTGTTGGCTCTATTTACTCCAATAGTTTCTCTCATTGTTTTTGTTTTACAGCAAACGATACTTAATTCGATGCACAAGTACCAGCCTCGGTTCCATCTCGTCAAGACGTGTGATTTGGCAAAGCTGCCGTATTCGACGTTCCGTACGTTTGTCTTCCCTGAAACCCAGTTCATTGCGGTTACTGCCTACCAAAATGAGAAGGTAATTAAGGCTATTTCTATTAATTACAATCAACTTTCAATGAAATATTAATAATGACTGTAGGCATATGAGTAAACGCATTATTACTGCACAATAACGAAACACGGATAAAAGCTGCGTTTGCTTCTTTTCTTTTGTCTTATAAATCGAATATCGTATTCTCAGATTTACTATAGATTTCCTCGTCATTTTTATGCAATATTGATTTTACGTTTGTTCTTTAGTTTTACGCTTGATGTTCGAAGTAACTTATCATGTGTGCTTGTCAGTATAAGATTCTGTACCTGGATTGATAACTCAGTAGTCAATACTCAGCTGTGTATCATCCTTAAGATGTGCTAGAAATAGTTATGTAAATTATGTTCTGTTCGGTCTGCACCTACATGCCTACGAATATGTCTAATTGCTTGCGAAATGTGTTCGGTTCCCGTCGTCACACGATTTTATTTTCGTTCAATCGTGGCATTACACACGAGCCATCAGGTCAACAAAGCACTTCATGGAAACCCTATGCCACTTTGGTGAAGAGTGACGCAACATTCTCCCAAATGTTTCTTACCCACTTGCGTTCCAGCATCTTTCTATAGATATATATCGGGTTTCGAAACCTCCCGCTCGTCTTTTGCTCTTTTGAGTTTCGTACGGGACCGAAGCCATAGCTGTTGGTGTAATCGTCGAAATCTACTAACCCCCATGTACCTTTTGGGTTTGGCTTTGTGCGCATTCGGTGTCTCTTTCCACTTTCAGATTACGCAATTGAAGATCGACAATAACCCGTTTGCGAAAGGCTTCCGAGAGACGGGCGCAGCTCGTAAGGACAAAAGAAAATACGCTCTACCCCCGGCGTCAAAGTCTGGAGTGCTGGCCGGTCTTCAGCCTGGCGGAACACTGCCCACACGACTTAGTGGCACCGACGACGAATCGGAACCTGAGGACCTGCCAGCGATTCGAAACAGCGCCAGTGCAAGTCCACCTAACGGACTGTCGATGTCAAGTCTGTCCATAGGAGCTCACCGCCTGACCAGCCTATGTGGAGGCTTTGCGGGGCCGCTATCAACCAGCGGAGGCCTCAATATGTTGGGTCTGCCACCGTCTCCAGCCTCGCCTTCGCCTCCGGCACCACCAGTTCTGCCTGACCTGCTTCTTCAGCAGCAGCTAGCCCAGTATCGGCAGTTACATGAAATGCTCGTACTCGCACAATCTACTCAGCTACCGCCCACGTCCGTACCGAGCCCAACTTTGGACCCACATTTAACCATGCGGAGTCTTTTATTGTCGCAGTTGACGGCCAACCGTTACAACCCATACGGACGTCCGCCCTCGGCTGGAGACAACTGAATTGTCAATCAAACCGCTCTTCTAGTCAAACAAAACTAACCATCTAACTAAGTTAAGCAACGCGCCAAACGTGTGAGGTGCTTTGCGGCAACAAGAGCAACACGATGAATAGCAGTAGCGTACAGGGACAAGTATGGACATCGTCGTAGATATGGGAAGCAGTACCTCATTGCAATACTTCAGCCAGTCCACGTTGTGAAGTATTGCACTATTGTTCACCGTTCGATCATTATATTCAGCAACAGTATTTAACGTCGAGTCGGTTCGTGCCCACTGCTGGACCCACTTTTGCTCTGACAGTACCACTTCGAATACGACTTCGGTTACTTAAATACTTCTGCCGACAAGACTACTTACCATTGCAGATTAACACTTGTAGCATTTGGCGAAGGGGACCTAATGTGTCCCTTGCCTAATCGTTATCATCATAAATATCACCGTCACAGTCGATCATTATTAACCGATACTCAACTTTCAATCTTTGACTCGCGCGGCCGAAAGAATTCTCTTTTGCCTAATTTGCTTCGGAGCCGCTGCTACTGCTCCACAAAGGATTCTCTACCCACCAACTTCTGCCAATCTGGCTATAAACACATCGACATAGACACAGCACACACCTTGTGTGCTGTAGGAGCAACTGGCCGCGCGATCCTAGCGTTGAGCGCGAGTGTCGGCAAAACAACAAGCATATTGAAGTTTCCTATCATCAAGCACTGTAGCATCGGCTCGCAGGTGCGACCAGCATCCGTGTAAATGTATTCCGGTCCGCTCCGGTGCCGCTGCGAGCAATGGCCGGTCGGTAAAAGCCAACGAAGGCGCCCCCAGATCGTACGACGTAGCTCGATTGACTGAAAGACAGACAGACAGACAGACAGATGTTGGCGGAGATAGAAGGACAGACGAAAACCAGCGATCCAAAGAGTCAGCCGCCCTTCTACTGATCTACAGAACGAGATGGAATTAACGAAGGAAGCTAGTAGACAGCCAGGCAGCCAGGCAAGCGAGCATGTGTAGCGACCCACCTTGTTAATGTATATATAATGTAAATATTAGCCATGTATGGGACTCGAGGCTACGGAGTATGCTTGGCTGACAGTACAGTAGATACAGCCAGCATAGACTGTCACGTATATACATCGAGCACACGCATCCACAGCATGGTAGAAATGGAGGAAGAGACGAACATGGACAAACATTCGAACGAAAATATACAGGTACATACATACATACATAAACAAACGAATATAGGTACACACAACGAGCAGCCGCACAAAAACATAGGCTAAAACAAAAACAGACAGCTTCTGGGCAAGATGAGGACCAGGAAAATACAGAGACAGGAATAACAACAACAGTAACAATATAGATAGCATCGACAAAGTCGGTACCATCTACGCATGGTTTATAAGGGACGATGCTAAGCAGCGCCTGGACGCTACTCGATGCTGGGTGGATAACCACGAATCGTAATAGTGTAAACGGCACCAATTGGCACCGATGTTGTTTCAATCTACCGTACTTCGTCAGGCGTATCCGTACATTTGCGCGTCTATTGCGTTCAGTCAGTTATTTCAACGCGTATCATTTATTGGGCGAACGGAGTCTGAGCAATTGCACAACATTCTCAAGTAGTCACGACGAAATTCTTAGCTGAGCAGAGCGACCTTAGGCTGGCTGGTCAGGGGCATATAACGATCATGTGCCCGCCATGATTGCTAAGCCAGTCTCCGCCCAAGTGATGATCAAGCAACTGACATAGTAACAGTAACTAACATTCTCGATTTCTGTACCCTCAGCTAACCGCTAACTGCACAGTGGTCTCACACTGGGGCGGACGTGTCCTCACGAAAACGACGTCTGCCATCGGCTTTGCCTAATGCCTCTTCGATCAGGCGTACTTTCCCATTAGCTAGAAACGGATGGTGACCAGTATAGGGTGCGCAGATACCGAAGTAGAGCTGAGCCGTTCAACGATGCACAACAGCCGCCATAGAATGTGTCGAGCTCTAGAGCAACGTATCCCCTTTGAAATCTAAGCCACTAGAATAAAAAACCAACAGCGTCTTGTGGAAAATTAGAACTGGTAAACTGTAGATAATAGCTTAAAAGACCCTCCTGAGAAAAAATCTTGAAGACATCTTGACAAGCGTTCAAAACATAATGAATTGTGTACGGATAGGCTAAGGAGCAAAGAAGCCTCAACAGTGGTAGCGATCCGATTCGCAATAATCGACCCAAAACTTGAGAGGTTTAGAAGTGGGGTGATCAAATCTAAATATGAGGTATGGTGAATGACTAGAGGGAGAACTATGTGGGCTTCAACCTTTCCTGACGAGCGTATATCGCTGCGAAGATCTGCCGGCTGTAGGGAAGCCTTTCGACGAGAAACATTCGCTGTAGGCTGCGCCCTCTCGAGCTGATCAATAAGTGCAACAATTTAACAGAGTTCATTGTCGGTGTATAGTTATTACTAGAAAAAGATGCAAACACATCGTGCTACAATTGTGTAATTACTAATCCTGACCAGGTAGGCAACAGAGGGCGCGTAGGCCGAAATAATGCATTCAACATGAAATGATGAAGTCGACAAGCGGAACAGGTTTTTCTAGAGTCAACTAGGGCCGACACCTCGGTCCGAACGCTTCGCTACATTACAGACAGAATCCCGGTTAGCCGCATGAACGGCGTGGATAACACGTGTATGTGTAGGTGACGTACGTTTGGCGTTGGCAAAAATCACAGAAACAGATTTCACAGATCGACTACGACGGGGGGTGCGTGGTTGCCGGATAAGAGCGTCGAGTCCCACATCAAGTACTATCTATGTATTAATATTGTTGTTATTATGAAAAAAATGTATCATGAACTGTCTGAGACGGATAGCTAAGCAGCAAAAAAACATTTTGATATTTTGTTCTGTTTCATCAAAAACAAACATCATCTAGGTACTATCGTATCGAGGTAGGAAACAATGCTACAACTAAGATGCGGATAAAAAACACGAACGACTTCGAAGTGTTTTATAGAAAATGTGTATTACAAAGCATCAAACCCCCATAGTATGTGCAACAAACAAATCTAAATACGAAAGCATAACAGAAGAGATTTTATCACCGTAACCGCTTTGAGAAAAAGGATTGAAACTAAGCCAAGTAAACAAACGAGTTATCGAACGATTAGGGGCTATAAACACTAATATCATATAATAATGGCGATGATGATGACAATAGAAAGGCAAGTGTAATAGGTGAAAATAAATGGTAAAACTTCGATTTAACGAGCTGACAGGTTTGTGAATTTCTCATTTCCAATTTGGGATGCGAACGCATTCTCAAACAAGTTAGATCACAAGCTACGTTACGGGTTATTGGTTACCTGCTTTCTACCCACAGGCAACTGATAGATCGAGCTTTCCCTTCCATCGTAGGATATAACAAAGGACGAGTTGTAAAATGTAACTTTAGGCGTACCGAAGGTCCATTGCCGTAGTGACGTCCATGCTTTGTATGGAAACAAGGCAGAGTCAAAACGACAACCTCTTACGAAACGAAGTACGCTTAACAAGTGACTCGGTAAGGCTAGACAGATAAATCATTTTTTCATTTGGGTAAAAGATACAGCTAGCGTTCAAAGCAGCTGGGACATTTGGGCAAAACCCAGCTCAGTTCACGCTTGTTTTCGACTATATGCGGCCAGATACATCCGAATACGCCTCCATAACGTTTACATTGTCCAGATAAACGCGTCAGTTCAGCGAAAAGAAGCCTTCAACAAAAATCAATTTGAGCTTTCTTCTGCCTTAACAACATGTACACAGCTCGTACACACGCACATGTATAACGCGTCTATATAGTAGTTGGTAATGAATAACCGTTAATCCTCGACATTGTTGCCCTGTTTCTTGCCCCAACAGGCGTGAAAATTTGTGAACTTTACGATCGGCCAGTGGACGACAAAGGAAAAAATGGTCTGTTTTAAGGCGAAAGCGAACGGGTGTTATCGCTGGTGAGGGATTAATTCATAGGATCTTTACAGCCAGTACGATGAAGGACCGTAATCGGTCAGAACGCGTTTTAAAACACGCAGAGCCGACATCGTAAAATGTTGAAACTCTCGCGGTTGTGAGCAGGTCACGCAACGGAGGTCTGCGAAAAAATGCCCCCACAACGTTCTATCGTAAGGGATTCTATACTATACGTTTTTATGTACAGTAATAGGTGAAGACCATCGAAGAAGAACTAGCGCGCACGAGCTTCTCAAGATCAATGAGGGATTCGCACCTATTTCATCTTTCTGAGGCGCATCTATGGCCATCAGCAACGGAATGCGTTTTTGACGCCACGCACATAGTTTCGCGGTCAGCGAAAAACTGCTATAGGAAGCACAACTGTGAATACATAACCAAAGGGGTACCGCTTTGCCATACTGAATGCTAGGCATGTTTAAGTTAGCACCTATTGTTTTGCTAATGTGAGCAATAAGTATTGCTCTAGAAGTAATGGCGAACCGATTATTGTTGCCTGATCTGCAGGAGGCCGCTTTCACCCTGTCTTGAAGTGACAATTAAGTTGTAAAGGTGGTTTAGTTTTGATCGTTTAAAGATACGATCGTTGACCTTCAAGGACGATATTAGAATCTCATTCGGTGTTCCTTTCAATTTTGCGGTAAGTTCTCGATAGAGATGCTCGAGAAGCACACATCTTAATTGAGAACAGCGCGATATCACTTTTGATGTATCACGAACTCGTGCTTTACCATAGACAGCATCTGTGCTTGTCTCGTAACAAGACAAAATCATATCTTCATCAACGCACAACGTGAACAGCCAGCCTGTTCCTTGTATCTCGATATTACCTTTATCGTGCCACGAAGAATTTCTTTCGGCGCAGAAGGGCGCTCCTTTTTCCGATATGAAACTCACGTACCTCTCGAGGACCACTTCAGAGGACGCCCTAAACGATGATAGCTGGTCAGTCGGATCGAGCCGCCAACTGATAACGAACGCGAAATCGCCTATTGAAATGCGATTGGCAAGTAGCCCTATGGCTAGCGTGTTCCAGAAGATATGCATCATCTAGTACCTATATGGTTTTGTCGATCTTTTTTAGAAACAGATGAGTATTGGAGAGATAGATTGTAACCACCTCCAATCTTGCTAGTTCGAAGACGGCAGTGGTGATACGACGTGGAAGGAGGGGTTAACCGTTTAAAACCTAATCTCGATTGCGGGGCGGTGTCTTGGGCGCGTGTACTAGGCGGGGGGTCAACATCGCTTCGCTGGGTCACTCCAACTGGCAGCCATGAGCGGTTGTGAAGGAGGTAGAATTGGTCGGTTAGGGTTGACGTGCAGAGACCGATAAGTGAGCGATATATACTCGCTACACGCGTATGAGCAGATGAATGAATGTAGCTCGTCGAGAACACTGCAACTGGCCCAGGGCCACAAACGGAAACTGACTGGCAGATCGCGTCCGTTGACATCGTACTTACCAGTTACAAAACGAAAATATTGTAGTTTTTCGCAGAGGGCATACTCCGAAAAATATCTTAATAATTTAGTTTATAGGATAATGAAAACGTTTAACTAGACAGCTTAATCCTAGCAAGGGCATTTCGTACGCGAGGTCGTATTGATGGAAAAAAAAAAGTATATGTATTGAAAACTTAATACTCGTTCGCTGTCGAACGTCCCGGAGGTTAGTGATACTCAAAATATTTTTGAACTTTTTGTTTTTCGCTAGCAGCTGCTAACAAGAAGTCTTTTTCTGCAAGGTGTCGAGCTCTGACGAAGGGAACCAGCGGATACGTTATTGAGTGAGTGACGTCTCATTTCCACTAGTGCGCGTGTTAGATAATTGTCTCACTATGCAGACGCTCTATTGTAAACGTGCCCTATCGCCAGCGTCAATAGGATAATTTATGTAGATCTGCTTTTCGATAACTTTGTACAGTCATGAAGTAAAAGCCAAACACTTTTCTTTACCCATGTGTCTGTACGCAGAAGGGTTTATGATTATAACTGCTTGTAACACACTGTCGCAAACTGCCTATTTCGGTCGATCTTCACTCGTTCGTCTACCGCTCGTCGTTCTTCGTCGACACTAGTAAAACACCGCTGTGCAAATGGGCTTTCGAAAACTGCACAGATCAGTGTCTACTTGTGTACATTCGCTGGTGTAGCATCGACGATGTGGTAAGCGTGTTGAATCTTCGTAACTCACTCACCCTTTTGTCACAACGAATAGGTTTTGAGGAACTGCAACAACAATGAGAAATGAGATATCCGGCTTCTCCCCAAAGCACGTACATATGTTCATTGTTAGTTACAAACTGTGTCCGTTCCAAAGTGACGATCGGGTGCAGCCCGGACGCAGAGGACCCGAAGAGAACTACATTAACTTTTCGCTTACGTCAACAGACGAGGTGGCCAATGACAACCAAATCAGTCCGGTTACCTAAGCCGACTGAAGATCTATGGCCGACAGGGAGTTCCAGCGGGGAGAACCAGCAAACGAACGCGTAACGAGTAGGGTCACGTGTCTTACGAAGATTGTGAAGACTATCGCGTTTGCCTGTTGACCGTAGAACACACTGAAAAACAGTGACATCAGACGTCAAACAGCTATCGAACAGCACCTTGGACAGATTATTTGGAAAGGGTCCGAGGAAGAGGCAATTGCGATCGAGCGGAATCGCAGCGGTCGTTCAGCTCAATAGCCTCGTTATGATCATTCAGAGCGTTACTTCGACGCGCGCTGATTGATATTGTCTTAGCACAAATCGTATATTATCTGAGAAGTCATGTAACATGTCTGCGTACCATTGCACGAAGTGTGAATTCATTCACTGGATGTTCTACCTAAAGTTCCCATAAATCTACAACGACAGATGGCCTGTGCGAACATAAAATTCGGCCGAGCACAAAATAACAACACGCTTTTGGGTCGTAGCGTATTAAAACGTCTCAGAAGTAAGCATCTCTTCGCCGACGAAACCTCTCTAGGTATGACGATATAAAAACAATGACGTCATTTATAGTAATTGTATTCTATTCAGCTGAAATCGAACAAATTATGGGCTTTTTATAATTGAGAGTGTTATTTAGCGCAAAGAAAATCATTTGAGTTTGTCGTTAGTTGGCGGAGCTTACGTTATCTATTTTGTAGGAATATATGTGTTTTGCCTAGCAGGTTCCTCTATGATAAACTGCAGTGCATCGCACATTTGAGCGAGTATCGTATACGATGTGTCAGTTAAGACACTGTGTCTGCTACAACGTATATACAAAACAATAGAATTGACCAGAACGTTAGCACTTGGAATGGGTTTGCCCTTCATTTCTAGAAGGACAAACCGTTCGATGACCATTGAAACAGCGTTTCTAGCCCTTTCGCTCGTTTCGCAATCACAAAGCTACCTAACTAGGTTCCTGAGGCTTGTTTATGTGCCTGATAGAAACCTTCAGCCTCTACTTCCTGTAATGTCATACTATGTTTCTGGTATCCGATGTCTATGTGTGTATGGCAGTACATGTATTTGTTTCAACTGTACTAAATAGATGAGAATCGTAATATGT